GCAAAAACTCGCCAAGGTGAGTTTTGTCTCGACATGCTTTTACGTTTGCATTGTTTATGCTTCTATTTTTTTGTGTGCGTTCGTCAGTTGTCTTTGAAGAAATCTTCAGACCATCCATGCTTAGTTATCTCGCCGCCTAAACGGTTGTTTTGTAAGATGTCTTGGCGGACATCGCTCTGTCGCGTTGTCCTACCTATGGTTGGGACTATTGAAATTCTGTGAGCAAAGTCGTATGCGAGAATGTTCTATTGCGTCTCATCAGTTGGCAGTAGATTCGTATTTTCCGTTTCATATTACCCGCTGATTGCTATGCTTTATCGATCCATCTTAATTTGGTCTATGTCGTAGCATTGTCTACATACTTATGCTGAGTCATACACTGCTAAGTATTTTTCAAGGGTGGTCTTCTAGTTAATATATTACACTGCCATGTTTGTCATGCCCCTATTCCATGCTTAAATACAGCTGATACATAACAGTTGGGCCGTCACAAACGATAATTTTAATCATGTAACAACAGAATAAAAAGCACAGGGACGGCAAGTCGTGTATTTATAAATTTATCGTGACAGACTTGTGATACCTCTGCTGCAGTCTTTCCTTTCTTGGCCGCCTGAGAAAAAGTCAAGAAGACTGGAGTGAGCGTCAGATGCCGTGATTAGCAAGACTTCACAGCCCGTTGACGCTTGCCATATACCTGGTACTGTTCAGGTTTTCGCATAAACGATTGTTGGCTTTGTTTTTAATTCAATGTGAGTACAGTTGATGTTACACCAAACAGGAGCAATTTAAATCTAACTTCGTTTGGGTTTGTTTGTGTGAAAGCCATGCACTGCGCAGTCGCGTGAACCATCAACAGACGATTACTACCCTAAGTACCTTACTGTGCGCTGTTGAAATTGTGATATTTTTGCATAAGCCGAGCTTAAACCGTTTTCTGTCGACCTATAGAGCCCTTTATAAGTAAGCTGTTTAGCCTAATAATTACTTTGCACATAAGATACTGGTTCAGATTCCTACTTAGTTTGTGTTACCACACCTTAAAAAAGTCCTATTACGTTTGTAAGTTGGCCTGCTCATAGCCCCAAATTTCTTCACACTAATACTCTACTTAAGCACGTAAATTATATCCGAGCTGTACTCTGACGTATAGGAATCAAGCTTGCCTGTCCATGACGCATTAAATAGTGTACGCATTTGGCTCATCATTTATCGTTACAAAGTTATAAAATTCTGAATCATTTTGCTGCCTTCCCTTCTTGCTCCAAAATTCACACTCAAGTTGGTCTTGTGATCAATAGCGTCAGCCATCGCTCACAAAATATAGCTCGGACCTTCAAATTACTTTTCGGCGTCCGTAGTCTATGTCAGCTTGTGTGCAAATACCTTCAATATTTGTTTTTTTCGCCCCGTACAGTTGTAACGTCTTGAAAAAGGCTTTAGAAATCTTGCTTTTTAAAGCTAGGTGGGCTTTGTCAATGTTTGACATACCTTAAACAGTGGCGATATGAGGCCGGCTAGATCAGGCATGATCACAGCCGTAACAAGTACAAGTAAGTACAAGATATGAAAAAAGTAGTTGCGAACTTTTCCAGGCACATTGTCGGCTCTGTGGTCATCTGTGTCCATACATTTACTATTTTTTTGAGTAGAGCAGGCCTACCTTCCTATCCATGTTATGGTTTCTGTGTTTCATCATCAGCATTGCGCGTATATTTTCTTACCTAGTTTACCAAATAATTAATTATTACGTTTTCACATTTTCGCAGTTCGTGCTGATTTTGGTTGAAATTGGGGACCAAGCCCGCGTTGCTAACGCTATAATGACCTCAAGAGCTTCCGTCCTGGCAACTTAAGCGGAGCAGGGTCACGTAACAGATCAAACCCATTTCATCCCTTAGTTCGAACGCTTTTTGTAAAGAACGTTTGGGAATCCACATGACCGATTGGAGGCATTTCACTGTGGCCTGTTCGCCGATGTCTTAGAGCTCGACGTCACCACTAGAGCAAACATTAACCGATCCTCCTCGCCTCCGAATGGGCAAGTGTTAAATTGCAAACATCGACATAAATCGGCACAAGCTACTTAACACAATAAGCCTACCGTCAGTCAACAATCACCTTCTCGCTGTTGCATTTTTTCGCTCGATTAGCCTTAAATCATGCCGGGTTATGTAGATAGGAACTTTCTTGTCGCTATGAAGGAGCAACTGAAACTGCTCTGCAACAGTGTTAATTCGTTCTCCACATCAGTTCAATTTGCATTCGGTATTG